CCCCCCTCTTTCTCTCTAATTCTAGATCTCTTTGTACCCCTTCTCCCTTCACTTCCTGTTTCAACTATTTTTGGCCTCTTAAGGGTTATTTTTGTGTCAGATAATTTTTTCCTGGCACTCCGCCCATGTTAATTTCAGCGTTTACAACACAGAGGCACTTTGATATTGTTTCTCGAGAAAAATCATATCGACACATCCTGTAATTTTGTAGTTTTCATTATAAGCTCTCGTTTTGTATTCAGGTCCAGTGAGACTCCTTTACATCAAAAAAGCCTAAAAAATACAAGCAACTGTAATAAGATATTGACACACTAAATATTTTGGCATTTAAAATACATAATTATAAAAAATTTTGGATGTCATTTTCATTTCATCTTGCATGTAATGTCTGATAAAGCAGCGTTTGTGAGTGGAGCGCTGCTATGTGTACAGCGTTACCGGGGAAACCTCTATTTCTCCCGCTCTACAAGCGCCTCCTGCTGGCAGAGAATTAATTTGCATATATATGCCGCCACAAATAGAGTGCAAGTCTGTGGGAAACACTGAGATATATATATATATTAGGAACTTGACTTTTTTTTTTCTTCTTCCTCTTTAATCATATCGACACATCCTGTAATTTTGTAGTTTTCATTATAAGCTCTCGTTTTGTATTCAGGTCCAGTGAGACTCCTTTACATCAAAAAAGCCTAAAAAATACAAGCAACTGTAATAAGATATTGACACACTAAATATTTTGGCATTTAAAATATATAATTATAAAAAATTTTGGATGTCATTTTCATTTCATCTTGCATGTAATGTCTGATAAAGCAGCGTTTGTGAGTGGAGCGCTGCTATGTGTACAGCGTTACCGGGGAAACCTCTATTTCTCCCGCTCTACAAGCGCCTCCTGCTGGCAGAGAATTAATTTGCATATATATGCCACCACAAATAGAGTGCAAGTCTGTGGGAAACACTGAGATATATATATATATTAGGAACTTGACTTTTTTTTTTCTTCATCCTCTTTAATATTTGTGTGCGTGTTTTTCAGATGAAAGAGGGCAGGAGAACATCCAGTCTCAAGGCCAGTTATGAAGCTGTCAAGAACAATGATTTCTTGGGGCGGGAGTTTGCTCTGAGTCGAGACACCAGCAGTTACTCATCTTCTGCACTGGCTAACACACTCGCACAGCCCCTCACGTCCAACATCAGCTCAGACTCTCGCACAGGACGCAAGACCAAGTAAGACTCGCACTGTTTCCATATCCATTTATTTGGTTCCTCGATGAGCCACCAAGATACATTTTTGTGGTGTTTTTGTACATTGTGCCTCCTCTGTAAGCATAAACCTCTTTCTCTGACATATTGTATTCATCAAATTCATATACGTTTGATTTGAAACCACTTTCTTGCTTGGCTTTTCAGAGGCAACACTAAGTCTTCCAATCACCAGTCCTCTTCATCCTCCTCTTCCTCTTCACTGTCATCCTGCTCGTCATCGTCAGCGTTGGCTCATGAGCTGGTACAGACCACCGTCACAGAAACTGACACCAGCAGTCAGGTGGACTGGACCTACGACCCCAACGAACCCAGATACTGCATCTGCAACCAGGTGTGCTCCCGTCACATCTCTTATACAGCATTCCAGCAACACTACTACTTGTAGTGCTCTTACTGTGATTCTGATATTGAATTGATTTACTATTACATTGATTCACTAATTCTAATTAATTGGGACCACTATCTGCAGATTACAAAGCTGTCATGTAGCAGTAAAGATTCACACATTAAAGTCGTTAAGCTCATGTTGGTTAGACAGGTTAGTTTCTATTGTAATCTGTAACGGAAAAAGCCTAACATAAAATAAAACAAAAGACAAACAAAATTTAAAAATAAAATATTACATTGTATTTGTGTGTGTGTATATATATATATATATATATATATATATAAAGCATATATAAGCATATCATGGTTTTTTTTTTTTCAATTCCAGTATCATTATTAATTTAATTTTAATTTAACAGTTTATTCCTTTAAACAATTGCCAAATATGATCAGAACGAATGTTTTAAAAAGGAAACAATTCAATCTCTAACATAAAATAAAACAAAAGACAAACAAAATTTAAAAATAAAATATTACATTGTATTTGTGTGTGTGTATATATATATATATAAAAAGCATATATAAGCATATCATGTTTTTTTTTTTTTCAATTCCAGTATCATTATTAATTTAATTTTAATTTAACAGTTTATTCCTTTAAACAATTGCCAAATATGATCAGAACGAATGTTTTAAAAAGGAAAAAATTTAATCTCTTGAGCTATTTTTAACCATCCCCAATAGAGCAAGATCATACAGGAAAATCAAAGACATGTTTAGGGAGGTGAGGTGTGTGTGACTCCAATAACAGTTTGCAGAGGGATTCTGTGAGAGTGTGTGTGTGTGTTTTAGTTTATGTATGAGTGCAAAAGAATTGTCTCCCCATGAATGCATTTGTTTTATGGCCTCAAAGTAATATTGCTTTTGTCAAAGTATCAAAAATAGAAATGTGTGTGTGTGTCTCTGAATAGACATCAAAGACAAAACTTGCAGTCTTTGTTCGCAGGTGCGCACATCCGTGACGCTCAGCTGCAGGTGTGTATGTGCGTGTTTGTCTCGTATGCTCTGTGTTTCATTCTCTCTCTGTCATTGTGCAGGTGTCATACGGAGAGATGGTCGGCTGCGATAACCAAGATGTAAGTTAAGCCTTCATCTCTAAAGACACACAGCTACATTTCCTCTTCAAACAACTCACACTAGCTTTGTCGACTCTTGTGACCCTTGGGCAGTCACTATTTTTGCAGAGATGACGGAAAGAAGTCATGAGTGTTATTGTTAATATGATAAGAATTTTATTATATATTATTATTTTATTAGAATTAATTTTATAATCATTTTATACAAATAAAAAGAAAATTGCTATTCTAAATAAAAATATAACATTTATTAATTAAATTAAAATATATGATAATTATTATATAAACTAAATATTTTACAATTCTGAAATATATAATACTGTAATATAACAATTTATAATATATGCTGAATTTAATGTAATATATTTTTTTAAAATGTCATTCTGAGAATTCTTAGTCATTTTAATGACATTTTGATTGCTGTGAAAGAAATTGTCATTTGATCTCGACTCTTTCCCGTCTTTTCCCACAGTGTCCAATCGAGTGGTTCCACTACGGCTGTGTGGGTTTGACCGAGGCACCCAAAGGGAAGTGGTACTGCCCACAGTGTACAGCGGCCATGAAGAGGAGGGGAAGCCGGCACAAATAAATGCCAGATCACCTGGGCCGACCTCTCTGAAATGACTGTCCCCCTTGACTGAGAGTGTACATGTTACATCATCATGCGATCAGGGTGTTTAGATGCGAGAGAGAGATGTTGATGCCTGAAAGATGGTGTGGATGCTGTGTGTGTGTTTGTGTAAATCGCAACCAGGTTGGGCGTTTTTAGCTGGTGAATCTAAGCGCACACTGCCCTCGGAACTTTTCCTGTTTTTATGTTTTTCTCTTCATCTCCATTAATCGTTATGGAGGCTGATGGGCAAGATGGTATTGGGAGGCCCATGTTTTTTAACATTCAAGACATTCCTCGGCTTGCCATGCGTGATGACCCTTCGCGTCTGGCAGCTCCTGCTAATCCATATCAGCATAGTATGGATTGACATGATGCAGACTGGGAATTGTAGTCCTGAACTGTTTGATGGACTACAAGTCTCGTGACTTTCAGCTCTGATAAATCTTAAAGGATCCTGATGTGAACAGATTACGACAGTAACAGTGACGCTTCATTGCTCGCCAGTGAACGTGACGATTTTGCTGGATTATTTGTGTGTAATGGATAGATGATGTATTGTGCTCTGCTTAAAGGACAGGATGTTTCTTATTTTACCGAGGAGCTCTTAAGTTGTACAATAGATCAAATTAACAACTGTGACCTGTGTGTATGTTTGTGTGTCTGTGTCTCTAGCCTGTACTGCACTGATGTGGTGATTTGAGAGAGGTGTGTGGGGGGGGGTGGGGGCTGGGGGAATAAAATGATCAAGAACGTTTGGTACACACTGTCTTAAAGTGCATTGTAAAAGATTGAGTGCATTTTGCCAAGTAGGACATGTTTCTGGATCAACGTCGTTTTGGTCCTGGAACAACATTGATATCAACCAGTCGGTGCCCTCTGATTTTAGTAGGAGCGTGGGAAGGATTTGAGAATTGGGAGACGCATTGAGCAATATTCATGAAACAAGTAGAATGCATTTTTGTATAAATCCCTCTTGAAACAGTCCTTACATTTTCCCACTCAAGCAAATGGGACAATTTAAGATGCCGTTCTCTTCGTATTAACTAATTTAATCCTAAACCATAAAAACCCATTTGTAACCAAAATTTGCTTTGAGTTTGAAGGTTTAAAAAAACGTAAACTATAGATGTTGTACACTTTAAATCTCACGTTCAGACCTTGATTTCTTGTGAGCATTTTTTATAGCTGGTTTAAATGAGCAAAATGAATTAATTCCAGATATTAATTTAAAAAGAAAACATCAAAGCTCCATAGAATGTGTCAAAATACCCGAGACAATACTGTAAATATTATATATAATATTTGAGGGTCCTATAATTATATATGCTCTCATAAATCATGACCACAATACATGGAAACACGATAGTGGTCACACTGTTTATTTTGAAAATATAAAATAAATAGATTTCGATTTAACTAACGGTAGCTACTACAGTTACCTCCATCTAAACAGCTATGAAAAGGAGCAGCACACGGGGGTCTGGAGTCAAAGTTAGAATAGAATTTTAAATTCTTGAACAGTACATTTTTATTAATTTGTAAAAGCTGGAGAATTTTAAAGGTTCTTAAAAACGTAACGCGTATGCGCGCGAGAAACCGTATCAAAACAGCGAGACGCGACGCGACGCGACGCAACCGTGATGGCAGTCTCTCGCTCGTCTCGATTGACCAATAATATAAATGGCTGTGAATGACCGCTAAACACGTCCTGTGTGAAAAGGCCTTTAAGTTTAATATATTGAGAAGCCCAGCCGAACCCACAACATTCGCGGCGGTTTGGTAAAGTGAGGAAGGCGCTCTCTGACAGCGCGTGAAGGAGGCGTATCTCAGTCGTACTCTCAGTCATGAGGTTCCTCCGCTCGGGACTGTTTTTAATCAACCGTGGGGCTCAGCAGCTTTGAGTGAAACTTTTCACTCTGTTTGGACACCCGGACCGTTGAAACGAGACTTCACAACCAGCTCTGACGCGCGTCGAATTAGTTCAAGAGTTTCCACGATAATATCGTAAAGCCTTCCTCAGATATGTGCGCTTTAACCCAGCGCGTCGGATACCTGAGCTGCGCGTTTGAGCGCTTGTCGCTCGACAGCGCGCCGTGATCCGGGGGGATGATGTGGGGACCAAGCGCGCATTCCCAATGGTATGTGTCTCGACTCTAGCCAGGAACGTCTGTGCAGAAGTGGGAATGCTTTTCCGTGGGATCTGGGCGCTCCGCCGGAGGTGCTGCACTGGTCCGCTTCTGCTGCTGGGGATAGCGGTCGGGCTGTTTTACCACACTGTGACTATGCACCGGGACAGAACTGAGTTCAAGTCCAGTCAACGGGACCAAAGGAACAAATCTGCGGTGTTTGATTATAAACTACTCCTCAAGAACCCAGAGAGACTCGCATCTCTGCTAGAAGCATCACAGACAGACAGTTTTGTAAGTGTGATACATTCTTATATGTTTCAAAGCTGTTTATAGTTTATTATTTCATCTTTGCCTAATAACAATGCTGCTGCTGCTGCTGATAATAATAATAATAATTTTTATTATTAGGGATTATTAAAGCACAAATATGTATCTATAATATTTAGTATTCATTATCTTAAAATGTAATGCATGTATAAAATAGTTCTTTGTAGTACTGAAAAAATTATATTTAATTCTCATAATATCACAGCATTAATTTATTTAAATATAATTATTTATTAATGTATTATTCATGTATTTAATGTTAAATCTAATGCATAATTAATACAGTTAAAATGTAGAAAAATATAATATTACATAATATTACAGCATTGTATTTTAGTATTATTATATCAAGTATTTAATGTTAACTCTAATGCATAATTAAAATAGATTTTTATAATACAAAAACATTTTTAAATATTTGATACTCAATATTACAGCATTAATGTATTTAAATGTAATTATTTATTAATTTATTATTTATGCGTTTGTATAATGATTGAATGTATTATTCACTGTGTAATTAAAATAGTTTTTTATAATGCTGAAAATATTTACAATATTTAATACACATAATATTACAACATTAATGTATTTACATTTTATTATTGCATTATTATTTGTATTTAATTTTAAATTTAATGCTTAATTAAAAGAACAATCTGGAATGCTGAAAACAAAATATAAATATTTAAGTCATAATATTACAGGATTAATGTATTTAAAAGCAAATTATTTATTAATGTATTATTCATGTATTTAATTTGAAATGTGATGCATAATTAAAATAGTTATTTATAATACTGAAAAAGTATTATTTATTTATAATACTTTAGAATATTTGATACTCATAATATTACAGCATTTATATTTAAATGTACTTATACTTGTTTATGTATTATTTATGTATCTAATTATAATTTTAATCCACTTTGTGTTCAATGCACTATTTTTATTTTTTTTATTTTCTATTACCTTTTTCATAGTTTGCTATCTGAAAAATAACCTAGACATTTTTCCCAGGTATTGCTATAGATTTCAAAACAATGGATGTGTCACTACACTTCAGCTGTTACAGATGTTCAAATAAAAAATGTCATTATAAGTTCTCATCACTTGCAAAAAAGCTGTTGCTTTAGGATTTTCGTCTTCCCTCCTTTCAGCATGAAACCCAGTTAAAAAAATAGCCAGCGAGTATTGTTTATTTATGATGGTTGTCTATGTTGGGGGTATTTTAGGAGGAGAAACTCAAGGCTGGACATTCATTGGTTTAAGAGAGCACATGAAGGAGGGGTTATTTATGAGTGCACACATGCTTTCGTTCGAACGCTGGGAAGATTGACATCTGCGGGGAAGTGTTATGTCAGTATGGGATAGAAAGATCTGCAGAGAGATGCCGGGAATAAAGTACAGCTGTCATGGGATGCCCAGCCATAGGTTTATTTACGAGTTCTGTACGAGGAGGTGGAGCATGTGTGCGCGAGAGAGAAAGAGTGTGCAAAGCATAGAAAAAAAGTGAAAGAGAGAGAAATTGGAAAACAGATTTAAGGTCACTGAGGCAGAAGATGAGGGGAGGAAAGCAATGAGAGGTGAGAGAGGTTTAGTTTTAAGCTGGGACTGTGGCAGTATGCCTTCCCATAATCCCGCACTAACTTACTCCTAGCAGGAAGTCAACACTGAGAACCATGACAGCTGTCCTCAATCAGCTATTAGTGAACCTTACTTGAGTGTGTGTGTGTGTGTGTGTGTTGAGTAGGATAGAGTTATCAGTCTGTGTGACCATCAGTGGCTCTCTGATGTGTTTGGAGAAGGACTGTGCCCTGCAGTGTCTGGTGCTGCCATATAAAAGTCATAAACATGTAGGTAACAGAGTTGAGCAGGAAGTGAAGAATTACCCGTTGCATTTGTGGGCATCATGATTGTGAGTGTGTGGGAGTTTGTATGGATGAATTAAGGATTCTGGGCATTTGTTGTGGAAGTTTTCAGCCTCTCAGCAACAGGAGTGAGATAATGTTTGTTGTGTGAATTAGCATAATGCCATTTCGCATTAACATATATTCATAACGTTCATTTGAAGAAGATGCCTATTCCCATGGTTGCTGTGCGGACTGTCAAAAGTGTGAAAAAGTTTTCCCATCCTGCAAACCATTGCTGTCTCGTTGTCCCTGGAGACCATTGGAGGACGTTCATTCATGTTAACGAAGTCACGTCTGTCTGTGCTTTTGGACCACCTGGTTCTGATCCAGGATCAGACAATTGCATTCACTTTCAGCTGATTAACTTCTAGTGTTTACACACACACACACACACACACGGTGAATGTGAATAACTGCTTTGACTGCTGCCATATGTCAGTCTAATATAAACCTCACTATGTAGTGTTTAGACATCACACTTTAACAGCCAGTTGGAAGGTCGTAGTCACATATTAATCTCACACAGTCTGCTCTATAAATTTTTTAAAATAAATATAATATTTATTTTTATCTTACATTTTTAAAATGTATTATTATTATAATTATTATTATTATTCATAGGTCTTAAGTATTAATGTTTGGCACTATTTTTAAAGTGATCAGGCTTATGTTGATCACTTAGCGAATGATAAAATGAGCAAAATATCCCATGAACTTTGGAACCTAGGGACCTAATACTGTAGAGAAGTTCAGTGAATAATACAAAATAATAATTTAAGAATATAGAAAAAATATACATTTAAATATATAAAATATTGTTATAATACCGGAAAATAGTTATATTTAGTACTCATAATATAACAACATTAATTATTTAAATTTACGTAGTTATTAGTGTATTATTCATGTATTTCATTTTAAATTGAATGCATAATTAAAATATAGTTATATGTAATACAGAAAAAAATATTTGTAATATTTAATACTCATAATATTACAACTTTAATATATTTACATCTAATTATTTATTTACATTTAATGCATAATTAAATAGTTATATATAATACTAAACAGTATTCATAATGTTTAATTCTGACAATATTGTATTATATTGGATTTAAATGTAATTATTTATTAATATATTATTCTTGTATTTAATATTAAATTGAATGCATAATTAAAATATAGTTCTATATGATACTGAACGAAATTTATAGTATTTAATGCTCATAGTGTTGTATTATATTGTATTTAAATTTAATTATTTATTAAAGTGTTATTCATGTATTTAGTTTTGAATATAATGCATAATTAAAATATAGTTATATAATACTGAACAATATTTCTATTTTATAGTCATAATATTACAGCATTCACATATTTAAATGTAATTATTTATTCATGTATTATTCATGCAGTATAAAGGGCATTAAGACAAACCTCTGCTGTGACATTGCTGTCAGGAGACATTGTAACCTACTGTCTAGCACATGCTATACATGTTATAGTCTATATTCGGCCTGTGGTTTGCACAAACAACCGCACTCCATCACTGTTGGGCTGAACGCTCCCCAGAGACTCACGTTCAAGTACGCTGAGAGTTTATTGTCTGCCGTTTTGACTGTGTGGGAAGAGGACAAGTACAGGAGGTCAGCAAGTAGCACTCACTTCTTTTCTACACCATGCGTTGCATTGTTTTAGAGGGTCTAGATGTGGCATAGAGGCGGGTTTGGTATGTGTTTGTGAGTGTGTTTGATGCGGTTTGTGTCGAATGGGAGAGAGGAGAGGAAAAGGGGTTATTTTTATATATAGGGGCCTCTCGACAGCCATGATTAACCTCTGAACCTTAGGGAGCCAGTGGTAACAGAACCCCTATCCAGAGTGGCACAGAGAGAGAGAGGTATTTGTGGAGGGGGAGGAAGAGCGAGGAAAGTGCAGAAAAACAGGGAGAATTAGTTTGTGGGGGGAAAGCTTGAATAAAATGTTGAGCCAATGCCAAACGTTTAGCCAAGTAAACCATTCACTTTGCATGGACAAGCAGAGTTCGAGGTCTCCTCTGAATACTAACAGAACCCACGTTTTGTTTTCTCCCTTCTTTCCACATCTCAAGCGCTCTCTTGAAGTCTAGGACATGTTAACCTGACCCAGCTGTGCTTCGCGCTGGGTTCAAATATTGAATCTGGATTGTAAAGTCTAATTCTGTTCATTTCTATGCAGAAAAATCCTTAGAAGAATGAAATATCACGTATTACATAAAAAGTCTAATAAACACTTTATCCAGCAAGCAAGCACTTCATTATGCTAATGGTGGACTGTTTATGGTCACCAAGGAATGTAGCAACTTAGCACATACAATCACTAATGTGTGTTTTACAAAGCTTTGAAGGCAGCTCCAATAAGAATCTAAAATAGATATATATATATTTATATGTAGACATATTATTTTAAATGTATACATTTACCATTACAATGGTTTCGAAGGCAGCTCATTTAGAATTTAACATTTGAATTTATATATTAAATTGTGACATATGACATTCTTAAGACAGAAGGCATTATTATATGTATTTCAATTTACATTAATACATCTATATTATTTACTATATTGTAAATTTATTCATGTACATTATTATTATTATTAGTGCATACATACTAACATACAGTATATGCATACTGTATGTATATATATATATATATATATATATATATATATATATATATATATATATATATATATATATATCCAAATATCATGCTCCAAATGTCATTCATCCAATCAGATTTTAAAAGCATAATTCTTCTGAATTCACTGATACTTTGTATTCTGATGTGAATGTTCACATCCACTTTATTGGTAGAAAAACTTGTCTGTGTTAATTTTAGTAGTTCATTTTATAATTAATTTTTGAAATGCTATTACTCTGATGCATCTGAGTGCAGAGAGTGACTTTAATAATGATGTTAATTTAGTTTGGCTTGCCGTTCCACATTGCTGACATAAGAAAACAGAGCTGAGTTTATGAGATGATAATGGTATTTTGGCATGGGCACTAACTCCCAAAGTGCTATCTGAGCACACAAAAAAACTTCTGCATAAGATTCTCAGGCCTGACTAGGGCACCAAAGGTTTTAGTAGCCTTCACAGCCAAGGTAATACCATCACTAGTACCACTTTCTGGTAAGGTCGTGTGGAGGATTTCTGCATATCTGTCCGGGTGGTCTGTTCTTTATCTGTGTGTTTACTGGGTCAGAGGCTATGTGAGGATTGAGTTGTTTGAATGTTGTTATGCTTGAATTTGTTTCATTGTATTGTACACAACACTTGTGACCCATTTGTATGTGTGTTTGCATGTGTGAGAGAGAGAGATAGAATATGTCATTTTTTGTCAATATTGCATGCATGTGCACATATGTCTTTGTGCGTTTTTCTGCACCATGTGTGCTGTAAAAGTCATGACCCTTTGGGGACGGTGTTAGGAGGTTGGTTTTTAAAGATAGTAGTATTATTTTTAGTCCAAACACTTTGGGATTTAGTTGCACATACCAAACACCATCTACTCTGTCCTTTAGCATTCAAGACTTGCATGGATTTTTATGTCTGGTTCCCACTGTTTAAAATGACCTCTGCTTGTTCATCATTTACAAGTTAGCGACAAGAGAGGATGCTTTTCCATGATAGAGCAATTTCTGCTGTGACTTGACTGTGTTTGCACTGATCCCTGCACCAGAGGACTAAATGAATATGTATGTGTATATTCATCTCCTGTTTTTATGTGGTGGGAATTAAAGGAAGATTTCCCTGAGAGGATTTAATGTTTTGTGTATAGCTGATTTAATTTCAGATCTTATTAAAGTTAATGTTTCATTGTGCTCTCTCAGCTCTTTGGGTTTTATATATATATTCCTCTCCCTCCCTACTTCCTTTTTATTTCCCTCTTTCTTCATGAGATGTTTCTTATTGGTTGTTATTACTTCCTTTGAGCGCTGGGCTGTTTTAGGCAGCGCTTTAATGAAGTAATGATGTTTGTGTCTTGGGCCGCAGACACGGAGGGTGAAATGAATGCAGTCCAGTAATTGCATGTTTTAGATTAGCGTCTGCAGCCTGAGGTCTCACAGAGGGGCAGGAGAGAGGGAGCAGATGGGAGGAAGAGAGTCAGACTGGGGGATGTAGGGAAGAAAGAGTGGGAAACTAAGTATGAATGGAAATGAGGTGCTTCTTGTTTCTTTTGAGTTGGTGACGAAGTTGGAATTCTAGTATTTGAAAAGAAAAAAAGAACAGTTATAAACTGGATTTTAGTGGTGTTGGCTCTTGCAAAACTCACCATCATGACGCTTGTGTGTTGATATGCAGTTGCCAAAGTGTTATTGATGTGTTAGATGGCCAAACGTCTCTGATATTCTAGTCTCTAGAAATGGCTTAAGTCCATCCTTCACTGTAAGTATATGGATGTATGTAAGTGTTAGTTATGTTCAAGCGAAAGTCTAATTGCTTAAATGAGTACACATCTCTTCAACAAGCCGCATTATTCATATACTGAGCTTGATTTTATTGCCTTTTTGTTTTGAGGTCCCAGGGCCCCTGATGTACTTATTTGTAAAATGTTGAAATTGACAAATTAAA